CCCCAACCCTCCGCCCCCGGGGATGGCCCCCCCCCCGCTGCGTGCCACGGGTACGGTCGCCCACAGCTCGCCGTCCCCTGAAAAGCCCCCGCAGCAGCCGCAGTCCTTTTTAACGAGTTCTCCTCGAAAGCCCCGTTCCACCTTTCAGGACCTGCTTGTTCAACCTCCGCGGGAAACCGGCTCTGGATATTTCAGCGTAACTAGCCCACAGCATTTAGCCAATTACAGAGCTGGACATAATCACTCACATTATTAATAGACTAACTTTAATCTCCCCCTGAAAAGCCCCCGCAGCAGCCGCAGTCCTTTTTAACGAGTTCTCCTCGAAAGCCCCGTTCCACCTTTCAGGACCTGCTTGTTCAACCTCCGCGGGAAACCGGCTCTGGATATTTCAGCGTAACTAGCCCACAGCATTTAGCCAATTACAGAGCTGGACATAATCACTCACATTATTAATAGACTAACTTTAATCTCTTCCAAACACCTTCTAATTCTCTCTTCTAAAATGCTTCCATGTGGCAGGTTTCTGAAGAGGTAGGTGGCTTTCAGCTGGCGGAGGGCATCTAGTCTTTCCTTGAACTTTTCTCCTTTTTCACATCATAAAAGCCTTGAAACTTCTGCTTTTGGGGAAAAAGATGAAATCAGGAGCTTCAGATTTAACTTTACGTTCTTAAAGACGCATCGCAGTCCCTTCAAAGAAGGGCGGAAATCAAAAAAAAAAAAAAATCAACTCAACTGTTTTCCATTTTGTGTAAAATGTATTTTATACACACGCCCGCACCCAGGCAACCAGCTGCAGCAGGGAACAGCGAAGAGCAGCCCACCTCCAACAGCTCCAGCACAGCAGCCAGTCCCTGTCAGCGTTTTCATGGTTGTTTGTTTGTTTGTTTTTTAAATATAAGAAAGATAACTTACAAAATATTGAAGTAGCACATCTCTGTGTTGGCATCAGAGAGAGACTGTTACAACCTCACACTCGCAGAATCACACAGCATCGCAGAACGGTCGAGGTTGGAGGGGACCTCTGGAGATCGTCTAGTCCAACCTCCAATGACAGGCTCTTTAAGCACAAGATTGGGCCTGTCTGACATCCACCCGCTGCTTTTAAAACGTTAAGGTTAAAGAGGACATGTAGCTGCTTTCAAAGACAACGGTCGAGAGTGCTCACCTCTAACTTTGAGCTTCGGAAAGAGGAGCCGCGGTCTAGCGGGACACCACAGGGCTAGCACAGCCCCAGCATCGTGACTTGGGTCAGCTCCCCATCTCCCGTTTTACTTGTAAACTCTCAGTAACACAGGAACAGCCGCTGTGACGCGGCGGGGAGGCAACCTCGACGCCCGCTTCCAGGTACCGCCACGGCCAGCAGGAGCAGGGCACAGTGGCGTTCCTGCATTTTCAAAATGCTAGACACTGAAAATCCATAATTAGGGAATTACAGAGAAGCAGGAATTATCAAAAAAAAAAACCCTCTCATCAAAACACATGTCATTGTGGTGATTTATTTAGGCTCTGGAGCTCAAGGTGAATTCTGGGCAGATTTCAGACAGTCTGTGTCCCATTTTCAAGAGATCAGTAAGCAGGTACCTGGTAACATCTCAGAGCACAGAGCCCTCAGAACAAACAGCACAGAAAAAGTCCATATGCTGCAGGCAAGCAGAAGGGGGAAAAGAAACGGTCAAACTTTCTGTTTTTTCTGGTGTATTGTCACTATGTTATGGCTAACATCAGCGACGCTCATTTCTCAGAAGCAATTTGCTAATTCCAGTGCTGTTTTGACACCCTGCAGCCCACTTCCTCCTCGCAGGCCAGGTCAGCCTGTTCAGTTTGAATCTGTTTCTCAAAATAACTGTTACTCTCTACAAGGTACATCAGCTCACATCTTAGCCTGCAGACTTTCAACACTTTACAGTTCTCCTTAACTCCAAACTTAATTTTTTGTACAAAGTTTTGGAATCATTCTTCCTATTAGCAAGATTTGGCGGGGAGATCTACAGTGGAAATCTGTTTAGTTACAAGGACCCTCGACAGACTAAGAACCATAGTAACTTTTCCAGGGAGAGGGAATATTTTCTAGTGGGTGTTCATTGGTTGAAAATTATCAGTAGCATTCTGCAGCATTAGTAGTATTCTGAGTAGCTAGAAGATATTTACAAAGACCACCAAAAATCCTCAGAAGGATTGTACACATGTGATTATTGAAATGGCACTGCAAGGCACAGGACATATGAATATCCATTCAGCAGCCCCTTGTTCCATTATTGAGGGTAAAGCTCCACTATCATTGCATGCCCCTGAAATGAAGAGAGAGAGAGAAGAACGGTCACAGACAGGGCTAATTGTTCCAGACACGCAGTCGGTACGAGATGCCTGCCTCCTAACCCTCTTAACCATATTAAAACAAAAGGGCAGATGAAAACCCGGGGCCAATTCACTAACAATATTCTGCAGACAGTGGTTTGATGGCTTCATAACACAGGTGTGCTTCAGGCTGGCCAAGCGCCAGGTTGGTCTGAGGGCCAAACTAGCTCTTAAAGCAATGCAGTGAGGAGACAACGTCCAGACCAGCGCCCTTAGGTTACAAGAAGGCCAGCTATGCTAGGTCCCTACAGAACTGCCAGCAGGCACTACAACATTCAACCAGGGCTCCCATCCAGAAGTCTCAAGACTCACTGAAAATCTGGTACAATCCCTCTCACCCTCATTTTTCGTGTGAAGATCTTTCTTCCCAGGATTAGAAGAAGGATCCTCACGTGCCACAATTTGGGCAGTCTTTATAAATGAGTCAGCAAACAAAACCCTCAGAACAAGGGAGAAAGGTTCTCCTTCCCTTTCACATCACACAGGCAGTGACAGGCTGCGCTAGCCATTACACAGGAATGATTCTGATATTAAGCTGCAGAGTCTCTTAAGCGGAAACGGAGGGAGCTTACTGAACTAAATTGCACTAAGGAGGCAGCCAGCCGAGCTGGAGGGCGTTATGAGCGCTCAAGGCCACGGCACTTCAGAGCTGCCCCCATTATGGGCACCCAATGCCAAGAGACGTCAGAGCTATCCCAGACCTGATGCAACTGGACAGGACTTCATAGTACCAAAAGGAGCAGAGATGGAATTCTTGCCCCTCTTCAGAGGGGACAGGACAGACCACACAGCATCACTACCTGTCCTCCTGCAGCACAGGCAGCAACCAGACCGTACTGTCCTCCTTCCTTCTTCAATCTATGGGCAGCAGTAATTACTAGACGGCAACCGGTGGCAGCGAAAGGATGTCCCAGTGACAGGGAGCCACCCCAGTTATTGAACTTCTCCAGAGGTGGGGCTCCAACCTGCAAAAACACACACAAAGACACACAATCACCAGTTTGGAAGGAGAGACTGCCTGGCCTTGCCACAGTACCACCAAACCTACAACGCCTGCCTGGACTGCTACAACGTGTTGTTCCTTAGCATGTAGAAATACCTGACAACAGTACAAAACCATGCCAAAGGCTTTACTGCTTCATCTGCAGTCAAGTATATCACAAGCTGCTAGAAGGTATGCAGAAGGACAAAGGTTCTCCCATCACTTTTAATTCCCTCCTCCCCAGCTATTAGTATTATGGTTCGAGATCTCCATCTCCTGCTGTCAACAGGAATACCACCATTTCCCAAAGAAACTGCTCATATTGGGATTTGCTAACCCAAAGTTCAAGAAATATTACTTCTCACTGAACATAATAGAAGCCCTGCTTCGCAGCACTAGCATACCTTTCTGCCACGTGGAATTTGAACAATACTCGAACTAAAGATAAAAGCTTCCTGATTGCATCCTTACCTTTGACTTTCTGCCCACGTAGTTTTGTGCAAACCAGTCTGAATCCAGAGCTTTCAGGTTGGCCAAAATTTGCCCCTAGAAGGGAAAGGAGAGCAACTGTAACCGGAATAACAGAATCACAGAATCTTTTAGGTTGGAAGGGACCTCTGGAGATCATCTAGTCCAACCTCCCTGTTCAAGCAGGGTCACCTAGAGCATATTTTGCCCAGGATCACATCCAGACGGGTTTTGAATTTCTCCAGGGAAGGAGACTCCACAACCTCCCTGGGCAACCTGTGCCAGTGCTCAGTCACCCTCTCAGTGAAGAAGTTTTTCCTCAGAAAATGCAGGGATGCGACAAGGAAGGCTAAGGCCCATTTGGAACTAAATCTGGCAAGGGATGTCAAGGACAACAAGAAGGACTTCTTCAAATACATCAGTAACAAAAGGAAGACTAAGGAAAATGTGGGCCCACTGCTGAATGGGGCGGGTGCCCTGGTGACGAAGGATATAGAGAAGGCAGAGTTATTGAA